CTCTCGGCCTGGGGCTCGGTCACTCAGGCGCAGCTGGCTGCCGGCGGAGCTCACGGGCGCGTCACTGCAACTCCCCCTGGCTTCTGCTCCGCGGCTGCTGAGTGAGCCCTCATCTGGGACTCTCCTCAGCTCTTTCCGGGACAGTGGCGCAGCTGCCCCTCTGTTGGTCTTCCTTGGTCTCTTGTGTTCTGGGGGCCTCTGGATGTCTGGAGTTTTGATCTCCTCCACACCTGCTTCACGCCCTGGAGGACGGGGCTGTGGCCCCCCCACACCCTCTAGCAGATCATTACATGAAGGAACCTTTAAAAAAAACAAGCGCGTCCATGCTCACAAGTGTACACACGGGTGATCACACCCACAAACTACACCCTTTTTGGCTCCTACCTCAAAGCACACTGTGTTCTGTTGATCTTATGTGCTGCACAATAATGTTTAACATTTAGTATTTACTGTCATATTCCCATATATCATTGTGATGTTGTTTATTCTATTACTCTTGTTCTCTTCTGCTTGCTTTCTTTTTTCTTTCTCAGCAGGTGATCCAGGTGATTGATATATGCTTTTTTTTTTCTCTGCCCGTTCTGTTGGTTTTTGTTTTTTGCCCTTCTCCCCCGTCCCTCTTCTCAGCTGTTTCTCTTTCCCTCTTTCTTTCTCCCCTTCTTTCCCCCAGTCAAGTCTGTCCCGTATTCAGTAAGTGAAAATAAAATAAACAATAAAAGGTGAATCAAATGGACCATTACGGCAAGGCTGGGATGGTCAGTTTTGGTAAAGTAAATCCGTTGGGCATCTTTCTTTGCCTTTTAGACAACAATTCTGATGGCAAAAGAGCCAAACGGGACAGGCAAAAAAAAAAAAAAAAAAAAAAAAGAAAATAGAGCAACAGGACCGCTAGTCTTTGATGTTATTTATTTTCTGCTGTGTTTTACTTGCATCTATTTGAAAGACTGAGTGTAAACACAAAAAATATTTTATTTTATGTGCTGGAATGTGCAGAAAATGGGTTTCAATCCATCCATCCATCCATCCATCCATCCATCTTCATCCGCTTATCCGAGGTCGGGTCGCGGGGTAGCAGCCTAAGCAAAGAGTCCAGACCTCCCTCCCCAGCCACCTCCTCCAGCTTGTCCGGGGATACCAAGGCGTTCCCAGGCCAGCCGAGAGATATAATCTCTCCAGCGTGTCCTGGTCTGCCCGGGCCTCCTCCGGTGGGACATGCCTGGAACACCTCGCCAGGAGGCGCCCAGGGCATCCTTGCCAGATGCCCGACACCTCAGCTGGCTCCTTTCGATGTGGAGCAGCAGCTGCTCTACTCTAAGCCCTCCGATGGCGAACTTCTCACCTATCTCTAAGGAGAGGCAGCCACCTTCGGAGGAAGCTCATTTCGCCGCTTGTATCCGCGATCTCGTTCTTTCGGTCACTACCACAGCTCGTGGCATAGGTGAGGTAGGACGTAGATCGCCGGTAATTGAGAGCTTCGCTTTTACACTCAGCTCCTCTTTCAATGTTAAACTAATTTATTCAAGTCAGAGAATGTTGCATATAATTAAATTTTTGCTTGATGCATAAAGTTAAAAAAGAGATTTTTCCACTTGATTACATTTTGTATGATGGATTATGCAGAAAAAGTAGAATTGGGCTGAAAGATCTATCTTTTTATCACCTATTCAGGTTGTAAATTGGGTTTTTAAAAAGTAACTAAATAATTAAGGCGCTGCTGCGCCTTCTTCACTGTTTTGTTTGTGTGTACTGACCACGTAAGATCCTCAGCCAGATGTACTCCAAGGAACCGGAAGCTGCTCACTCTCTCCACAGCAGCACCGCTGATGGTGATGGGGGTGTGTACTTCTCTGTACCTCCGGAAGTCCACTATCAACTCCTTTGTCTTTGCGACGTTGAGGGTGAGATGGTTGTCTTGACACCAGTGGGTCAGGGCGCTGACCTCCTCCCTGTAAGCCGTCTCATTACCTTTGGTGATAAGACCCACCACTGTAGTGTCGTCCGCAAACTTCACAATGATGTTGGAGTTGTTAGTGGCTGTGCAGTCGTAGGTGTAGAGTGAGTACAGGAGAGGGCTCAGTACACACCCCTGTGGAGCACCAGTACTTCTAATCCGGTCGTTCAGTCTGACATCACTAGCCGTGTCTGGGCCTAAACTCCACTGCAAGTCCATATATCAAACGATCACTATGGCATAACTGAGAGTTGAAAAACAGTCTAAAGTCTTTCATCTTTAATAAAATGATCAGCGTTCTGCTCTACCAGGTGTAACAATTGAGTTTAACATCCAGGCATCCATGAAAACGGAATTTATGACATTTAACGGAGTTAGAAGTTAGCAGGGAGTTAGCTCGCTAGCTCCTATCTACCGTATTTTCACGACCATAAGGCGCACTGTGCTAAAAGGCGCAGTCTCAGTTATGTGTGCCCTTACTGTATTTAACACACACATAAGGCGCACTGGACCATAGGGCGCATACAAGTACAGTATGCGTATTTAAAAATAAAGCGGGAGCAAACCTGAATTCGGTACCTTACTCACATTTCTATTGCCGGTGTTGTGCCAAAAAGTGATTGCCTGCCAAAAACTGATTTCCAATGTTTCCGTGTATTTTTTATGTGTAATACCTTTATGTATGTTGGTAAATAGACTTCGGTGAACAGCGTTTAAAAAGGGGTTATATATAGAATTAAAAGATTATCTGTTTTTTCAAGTATCTTTATAACTCTGTGTTATTGTACTCACATTATAACCAATCCGGTCCTTTTTCCCCACTTACAATATTTTTACAGAACTATTGTAATATTTGCTGCCATTTCTGATGTCTTACTCTTACAAAAGACATTTTTAATGTTAATGAGATTTTTTTTAACTGCATAAATAAAGGTTCTATAAAAGTCGCTGCCAAAAACTGATTGCGGCTTCTACCTTGTTACACGAATGTTGTTTGTGGCTCAATATGACTTTGTGTCAAATCAAATCAAAATCAAATCACTTTTATTGTCACATCACATGTGCAGGCACACTGGCACAGCACATGCGAGTGAAATTCTTGTGTGCGAGCCCCACAAGCAACAGACAAACACAACAACACAAACGAGCAAAATACAAGAATGGCTACATCTGAAACTAATAAATATATGTACAATATATAATAGTGTATGCATTTCTGGATGTGTATACTAAATATTATCCTGTGTGTGTGTGTGTGTGTGTGTGTGTGTGTGTGTGTGTGTGTGTATACACATTTTTACAAATTAAATAGTAAAAAAATAAAATAATAATAATAAATAAAATATATAAAAATATATAGAGTTGGATATGTGCAAAACAAGTGGCATTTATATACAGTGTGTGGAGTGCATAGTGTTGCAGTTCCCGTAGTGAAGCTGAGGTGTCTATGACGTGTTCAGCAGTCTGATGGCCTGGTGGAAGAAGCTGTCTCTCAGTCTGCTGGTACGGGACCGGATGCTGCAGAACCTCCTTCCTGATGGAAGTAGTCTGAACAGTTTATGGCTGGGGTGACTGGAGTCCTTGATGATCCTCCCCGCTTTCCTCAGGCAGCGCTTCCTGTAGATGTCTTGGAGGGAGGGAAGCTCACCTCCAATTATCCGTTCAGAGCACCGCACTACTCGCTGGAGAGCTTTGCAGTTGTAGGCGGTGCTGTTGCCATACCAGGTGGTGATGCATCCAGTGAGGATGCTCTCAATGGCACAGTGATAGAAGGTCCTGAGGATGCGGGGGCTCATGCCGAATCTTTTCAGTCTCCTGAGAAAGAAGAGGCGCTGCTGCGCCTTCTTCACTGTTTTGTTTGTGTGTACTGACCACGTAAGATCCTCAGCCAGATGTACTCCAAGGAACCGGAAGCTGCTCACTCTCTCCACAGCAGCGCCGTTGATGGTGATGGGGGTGTGTACTTCTCTGCACCTCCGGAAGTCCACTATCAACTCCTTTGTCTTTGCGACGTTGAGGGTGAGATGGTTGTCTTGACACCAGTGGGTCAGGGCGCTGACCTCCTCCCTGTAAGCCGTCTCATTACCGTTGGTGATAAGACCCACCACTGTAGTGTCGTCCGCAAACTTCACAATGATGTTGGAGTTGTTAGTGGCCGTGCAGTCGTAGGTGTAGAGTGAGTACAGGAGAGGGCTCAGTACACACCCCTGTGGAGCACCAGTGTTCAGTGTGATGGGGGATGAGGTGATGCTGCCCAGTCTGACCACTTGGCGTCTGTCAGACAGGAAGCTAAGGATCCAGCTGCAGAGGGAGCTGCTCAGTCCTAGATCCTGCAGTTTCCTGTCCAGCTTCGAGGGAACGATGGTATTGAATGCTGAGCTGTAATCTACAAACAGCATCCTCACATACGTGTCTCTCTTCTCCAGGTGTGACAGGGCAGTGTGTAGTGTCAGGGCTATGGCATCATCAGTGGACCTGTTGTGGCGGTATGCAAACTGTAGAGGGTCCAGTGAGTCGGGTAGTGCAGAGCAGATGAAGTCCCTGACCAGCTTCTCGAAGCATGCTACAACTATTATAACTACATGTGTAGCGCTTATGAAAGAGGTTATAGATGGGATCATAAAAGGAAAAAATGGTTTTGTTGTTTTTACTTCATGTGCATCCTGGGTATAGACCAGTATAAAGGTGTTTCTTCCCAATAATTGCTGTCTCGCATCCTTCATATTGCATTTTAAAACGTAGAAGCCTGATTTTATTATTACATATAATTTCTAACAAGCACATTATACGGAGCTGGAGAGTAAACAGTTTGAGCAAATCCACACTCATTCTGTCAGAGCATCATTTATTCATCAGAATCAGACCAAAGCAGATGTATCAGGTCACCTCTGCACCTTATGATTCTGGGGTGTAAAATTCTCCTGTCCATGTCTTAAACTGAATTGTTTGTAACACACTCATAAGATCCTTACGAACCTCTTCCTCTGCTCTCTGCCTGTTTTCAGCTGAGTGTTCGTGCACATGTTTTATTTTTAACTTCTTCCTCATTTGTAAGCAAGTTGCTCAGGCTCTCGGGTTCAGCACAGTTACCAAAGGCCAGTCTTTGGTGTCGTCTGTGTTCAAGCCAAACAAATTGTGACATGATCTGCAAGGGTTCATTTTTTCATCATTACTGAGATTAAATGCCTCACACCTGATGTCTCCAGGTACTTCAATGGTTCCATCAAAGTAATCTTTCTTGACCTTTTTTGGATAATAGGTCATCACTGCACCAGATACATATTCATCCCATTTGCTAAGACAGGAGGCAGCAATCACAATTTTCCCCGGGTTAGGACCGTTGGTGGACATGGAGACTCCGTAGTACCTCTCTGAATTTTGGTCGGTTTTGGATTTCTGGGAAATGCAGATGGTGGAGGAGACCAGAAAAAGTGGAGCAAGGTTTTTGATGAGTTCTTGCAGACTCTTTCTTATTTGCTCTTCGTTCTCTGGATTCTTCAGCAGGACAATCTGGAAATAGTTACAAATACAGCCTAAATGTTACACCAGCATCCTAGAAATGATCAACTTCCATTTGTTTATATTGTAACTGTAATATTTTTATAAATATCTGACTCTAATTCATGAGATTTTTGTGATTTCTTTTAATATATAGTTGATCCTTGGCGGTCGCACACACTGGCGTATGTGTTCTGTGTCAGAGTTGAAACTCCTTTCAATGTAGTCCAAAGCATCGACATAAATATCCTTGTCTGTTACAGGGATACCAGTTATCTCACCGTGCACATATTCTCCATCCTCTTTGCTGTCCATCACACCAAAGTGTATTGTGCCATTTGATCTGATATTCATACAACCAGCTGCAAATTTAAGAACCTCTTTGGCAAACTTAGCTTGGAGTCTTGTGCGATCCAATGTAGCAGCTACAGCAAAAGACTTAAATTCGTGGCATGGCAATATCAGATTAAAAGCACCTGATTCAGGCTGCAGGATTCTGTGTTTCACATATAAAAAAATCAATCCCTTCTTGATCAAATGGCCTTGGTTTACAGTCTTCCTTTGAGATTAACACACATTGTTCCTGAGAAGCGTGGTTCTCCTCAAAGACATCTTGTTCTGTCTCTGTAGTTTGTGCTGGAGGACCATCACTTACTGTTGAAACAGACTGAACCAATTTCTGACTCCTCTTTTCCTCAAACTCAGTTCTTTTGGAACCAGTAGTTTTTTTTCTTTTCTTGACATTTTTGCTGAGAGTTGATAAGCTCATCTCTTCTCTGAATAATCAAATGAGCAGGCCCTGACTTCATGTAGATTTTTGTTTTTAGAAAGTCCTCATTTAGTGCAAGTAGGATTTGTCCATTTACTTCTTCTTCATGGAGCTTTTCTATGTACTGTTCCTTCACTCCAATTGATCTTAGCCAGGTGCTTACTTCAGATTCAGTCCAATTCTTGGGTGACTGCTGAGGTGTGTCAGCTGTGAAAGGACAAAAAAGCAAAACAAAACATGAATTACCCTATGCATAAAAACATCAGTTAAATAAATGTGTGACAATAACTTTTTTATTTAAGACAAAAACTGACAACATATTATACCGCTTCTTTACTTTGAAATTCCTTGTATATTAAAACATTTTTTCGCCGTTCCGCCTAATCGCATTATGTATGTGGCGAGAGGCAAGCTGCATACATAGTTCACCAGAGCAGAATTCATATTCTTTTACATACTATGGAGGCATTTTTTAATTTCTCTGCAGCTTCAGACTGAAGATATCAAGGATCTATGTTCACCAAAGAAGCAAAAACATGAAGGAAAGGAAATGTCATCTGGATAAAATGTCGCCTCAAGCCTCATATCCTGAGCTTAAATTGGGGCTCTAACACATGGAAATGCTTGATGACATCCGTAACCCCTTTTCTCTAAAAGCCAAGTGAGATATCTCACTGTGGGAAGTGCCCTCTGGCGTGACCAATCATGGAAGCTCTACTACCACAACGTCTCTCGAAGACGAACCAACAATTTCGAGGACACGGGGTCCACAGACATCCTTTTATAATAGCCCCTGTGCCATAGATGTGACATAGGCTTCATTCTATGAGAGGTAGCCCAGGACATAAAGAATTGGTTGCTTTTCCTAAACCCCTGAGTCCTGTTTAGCTAAATGCATAATGCGCAGACAGGACAAAGTGAATTAAGCCGCCTCTGGCTCTCATCAGCAAATGGCCGGTGGAGGAAAAACTGATAGCTCCAATGGTAGACTCCCTAACCTTAGACACAAAGGTAGGCTTAGGGCACAGAGCCACCTTTCTATAATTTGGGAAAAACTGGAAAATAAAATTTATCTCTATATATCTCTATCTATCTAGAGATAGATAGATAGATATCTATATCTATAAGGGTGCAACGATACACAAAATTCACGGTTCGGTACTTTGGTGTCACGGTTCGATATTTTTTCGATACAAAAAAATGTTCATGCATTTTTAATTTGTCATTTATTAAAATTATAAATATATATTTTAACTCAAAAGTACAGTTTTTAAATTTAACCCTAACCCTTGTGCGTGTTTTTTATTTTGACAGCGAATGCGCACCTGCGGACCACTTATGTGCAGCCCTGGTTATTTAGCTCATCATATCGCAGCCACAGAAATTCTTTTGTCCATGAAACCATAAAGCTGCACTTTTTTTTGCCTTATAGTCTGATTTGCCATAACTTCTCCGTTTTGTGGTAAGCTTTTCTTTGGCTGTCACTTCTTCACCCTGACCTGTCTTATTTGGCTCAGCAGAACTGAAATGCTTTTACACACGGACTCACATAAGCTCAGCGATTCTCTGTGCGATCAACCTCTCACATGTTTAAGCTGCGGGAGATTTCACTTGTCATGTTTGCATAGTAAGCTAACAATTAATAAGACGATGTCAGAGGAATTGGTGCACAAATTATCATCACTCACAGATCAGTGCTGTCGCTCTCTATACACAGTTCGCACGATTGCAAAGTGAAAGCAAAAAAACAAGCGCAAATTCAAACGCGACTTCAATATGTCACATATTGACAGTGGCTCACCGATGCCAATGACATAATTACCCAGCTACATTTCTGAAAGAATGCAAAAGCATTGACATATATTTTTCCTACAATAGCCCGACGGGCAGGGCAGAGATAGATTTTGGTAGCCCGACTGAAAAAATCGCTAGCTCCGGGACGTCGGGCTAGCGATATTGCAAGCCCTGTATCTGATTGAGGAATCACTCATCTTTGGAAAAGAGAGTTTATTACAGAGAAATGGCTCTTTCCAAAATAAAAGCTATACTATCCGCTTCTTCTGGGCTATATTCTCAGCAGCATAAGGAGAATCATGTGCTAACAGCTGTCTAAATGACTCGGCTAAAGTTAGTAGCATGCTTGTTGTTTTTGTCTTTGCACTAGGATGATGTCGGTGTAAATGTGCAGTCATATTCGTTGTGTTCCCACTAGTGCTTTCAGGTTAATCTCGTTGAAATGACCTTAACGCCACAACACGGCAAATCTCCGTTAACGAGCTACCGCCGATCGCTCCGTGCATGGGGCTAGACGGCCAACACGTTAACGAGCTAACTGCGCTAACACACTAGTTCACACCCATGTAATTGAGCATTGCGTGGCACATCCAACATACTGTTTTACTTTAGTCCATGACGCGCTTACCTTCAGGGTCATACGTCACATGAAAACCAAAATAATTCCAAACGCCAGATCCGAATGAGGTTCAATTTGCCTGTTGCAAGTAGAGCTTAACTTCTGTTTCGCTAGCTTGCCCTGCGCTCTTCCTTCTGACTATGCTGTCTGTGTTGAGCGCTCAGTGGATCTGCGCTCGACAGTGCAGCCTAGGCGGAGTAGTCGAACACAGATTCACTGAGCGCTCAACACAGACAGCATCGTCAGAAGGAAAATTGATAAAATAAATTACAAATGTTGTATTGTTCGATACATATGCGTACCGAACCGAAAGCACTGTATCGAACGGTTCAATATCGATACGAATATCGTTGCACCCCATATATATATATATATATATATATATATATATATATATATATATATATATATATATATATATATATATGATCAAGATGTTTAGTCTATTGAGTTATTTAGCTATGCAGGACAATTGGATGTTTTTTATTTAGATAAGAGATGGAGTGGAATAGTTCAAAATATATCTAATTTCAAATCAACAAGCAAAAATCCATCTTTGTTTCTTACTTTCTTTAAAACGGAAGTTTGACAGATTGACTGAAAATGTGAGAACAGTCATCTTACCATGTCGAGCACACAGGAGAACGGACTCCGTCTGGGAAGCTGAGTCAGATAGAATTGAAAAGGTCTGGGAAATTTTTCCTTTAAGGCTTTCAAAATATCACCATCAGAGATTATTTCTTCTGGAGAAAAAGGGATTTTGTTGATTTTGCCCAAAAAGAAGATGCTGTGAAGAATCTGAGGGAAAACACATTTACTTAATGTTACAAGTGACATAACAGGACAGTGTTAAAGGTGCCAAAATTAACCCACCTCATCCACTAAGTGTTTACTTCCTGGGGCCATGTTAGACCAGTCATCCATCTTCATGATAATCTTGTAGGCATTTTCTCTGAAACCTTGTTGAGTTTTCAGAAATTCTTCTTTTCTAAAATGATAATGAGTGAGCTGTTAGGGATTTAAAAACACAAGAGGTCTGATAACTTTGGCTTCAGCAGAATCTGCAGACATACCTGTTTTGCTCTTGGTCAGCCTATTTTGAACATGAGAGAATATTTAATTTAATATTGACAGAATAAAATAACTATCATTGGTGGCAGAGAAGATGACAGTGAAGAAGTGAAAAGCTGCTACTCACCATTGCTGCAGTCTAAGAATGAAACAGAAAGCACAGAGCGAACAGCCTCCGCCTTAAAATGGTTCCTCATGTGATTTAAAGAAGACCAGCCCTGCACTGGACTCTTACTCTACTGTAGAAAACAGCTCCACGGGAGAGCATGCGAGCAACTCTCCTAGTAATAGCTAGTGGAGGTTAATATGCACCTGCTGATCACTTTGTTACGTTCCCCTGGGGGGGGGGGGGGGTCTAGGCGGTGAGGGGGAAGTAACAAAAGTGACCGGGTCAGAAAAAGGAGTCAGGGAGGCGGAACAGTTAAATAAAACAGTTTTATTGAAGTAATTCAAATAAAAGAGACGGACAAGCCGTTATCACCATAAAAGAAACACAAACAAAACTCAGGCGTTGGTCAAATAAAGCAAAAAGTCAAAAGGAAAGCGCAGCTCACTAGCTGTACCCACACAAATGGCACTCTGGCCCAGAGCTCACCCTGCTCTGGGCTTAAATACCTTTAATCGCTGATGGGAATCAGCTGTACCGGCGGGAAAGGTGGCATCTCAGGCAGGAGGTAGTGGGACACGCCCACACAGGCACCCTCAGGAGAGAGAGGCCCTGCTAGGGCCGTAACACTTTGTTTATCATTTGCTCTCCTGGGCCCTATTTCAGGAAGCTGGTTTAGTGCAAACTCTGAGTAAGTACACCCTGAGTTAACGAAAACTCTGGGTTTTCGGTTTCACAAAGCGAGTTTAGATTCATTCTGAGTGAGTTACTATGACGACACACTCCGTGAAGCTAACCTGCCCCCTAGCAGGTTTACTTCAACTAACCCTGACGTTCTCCGCCTCTTTGTCGAAACCTGACTGTAGGAAGTGTCAGACATGGCGTGCTCCTTCCTTGAAGAGCCAGTAGATGTTGAAGCCCAATTCTCCGCAGAGCTCTCCGCCGGGAGAGAGTGATCAGAGCGCGTTCGGACATTTTATCATTTCCTGATGATTTCCTGTGTGAACGTTACCGTTTTTCAGCACAATCTATAATTTATTTGGATAACATCCTCAGGCCATATATTACGCATGTGACACATCGTGGACATCCTCTCAGTTCTGTACATATTATTTGTATTGCACTTCGGTTTTTTCCAAACCGGAGCTTTCTGTATAATATTGGTGACGCTGAGCACGTTTCCAAGGCTACCGTCTGTCGGGCAGTCAGGAATGTTACAGTTGCACTGAAACGTCTCCTGTACTCGTTTGTGGTGTTCCCCGGTCATAGACCCACAAGATTTATCAAAGAGGGATGCCACAAAATTGCAGGTATCAGGATGAACGAAACTTAATTCATGATGTGGTGATACTTGAACTACTACTTAAATTTTACATTTATTCTCACGGTTCCCAGGCGTGATTGGCTGTACAGATGGCACTCACATTCCAATCATTGCTCCTTCAGTAAATGAAGGAGACTATGTGAACAGGAAGTCTTTCCACAGCATTAATGTACAGGTACATAGTTCCCTGTAGCATTTCAAACTAACAAATTATTTCATTATAGTAATGGATGCTAATTCGTGTTCTCTGCACTGTGAAGATCATATGTGATGCTGCCAACATTATCACAAATGTGGAAGCCAAGTGGCCAGGCTCTGTGAGTGGTGGTGGTGGAGGACCCCCACCTGTTTTTTGGGCCTCCGCTTTTTTTCTGTTGGCCATAACGGGTCACATTTGAGAATATAGAGTAAGAAAATATGTACTTGTAATGCTCAGATAATTTCAATAAGTGCTTACAGAGGGGAAATTAATGTAGCCTCTAACTGCAATTGATTTACATGGGACAAACAGACCAAGCACTATGGCTCATAATACAATTACACCTTACCTGTTTGGACTATATTTTTATATTTCATTTTTACTTGCTGCCAGGAACGTTGGGGCCTGTTGGGTTGCACCTGCGCTCAAATCACATCACAAAATAAAATGTATGAAATAAAAATAAAATAAAATATAATAAAATAACGTGTTAAATGGGTGGAAATCCCTAGATCAATGTTTAAATTAACACTCACGCATTGACTCTGTCGGCTATGTTTGCCATGCATGCTCCTTTCTTTCGCAGCTGAGGCTGCGTTACTTTTTTTCTGCAAAATTTGCATGTTATCGGCATATGCTGCCATCAGAATTTCGGCCTCAAGCGCTGTAAAATACATTGACCGCGCCTTCTTTCCCTCCGTCTCCATGGTGACTCGCTTAATCTGTGCTCAACTAATCAGGGCTTTATGTATCCTCGTGCGCGCGCTTAACTTGGGGTTAAAGCAACTCCGCGTTGACTGAACTAATTGTTATCAGCCTTTCTGAAACCGAATATTCCGAGTTGGACAGTTCGGGGTTACTCAACCCTGAGTATCGTTTTTCACTCTGAGTTTTCTAAACCGGCTTCCTGAAATAGGGCCCTGGCGTTCAAAGCACTTCATCACTACTGAGGTGAGGGCTACAGGGCGATAGTTACACTGATAATATTTATTTATCGAAAAACAGTGGTAAAATATCACTGTTGCTTTCGTATAAATGACGCGGACATACCTGAGTGGCCGCGATCTAATCTTGTTTACATAAAGTAAACCTGCTCCCGAGCAGGTTTACGCTTACGGATCTGTTGCTATGACAGCAAGTCCCGGATGAGCTTCGGAGAACCGAACGTTCCAAGATCACGCAAAATCGTCAACAATCACATCCAGCTAACTTACTTAGCGAGGTACGAAGAACGGACCCCTGGGCCCTATTTCAGGAAGCCGGTTTAGAAAACTCAGAGTGAAAAACGATACTCAGGGTATACTTACTCAGAGTTTGCACTAAACCGGCTTCCTGAAATAGGGCCCTGGTCAGAGACTTCATCATTTCTTCACTACCAGACACACTGGACCCACTACAGTTCGCTTACCGTCCAAATCGTTCCACAGACGATGCCATCTCTCATCTCCTCCACACATCACTCACTCACTTGGACACTAGAAGGGGGAATTATGTTAAAATGCTCTTCATAGACTACAGCTCTGCATTTAATACCATAATTCCCTCCACACTCACCACCAAGCTGGAGCATCTGGGACTCAGCTCATCTATGTGTCAGTGGATCTCCAACTTCCTAACTGGCAGACCACAGGCAGTAAGGATGGGCGGACATGTCTCAGCCTCCACCACTCTCAGCACTGGAGCCCCCAGGGGTGTGTCTGAGCCCCCTGCTGTACTCTTTGTACACATATGACTGTGTGGCCACTACCAGCTCCACCACCATCATCAAGTTTGCTGACGACACCGTCGTGGTGGGCCTGATCTCTGATAACAACGAGACGGCCTACCTGAAGGAGATTAGGAATCTGGAGAACTGGTGCAGAGGAACAACCTCCTTCTAAACGTCAGTAAGACAAAGGAGCTGATAGTGGACTTCAGCACTAAGCAGGAGAGGAACTACCAAACCCCCGTCATCAACGATTGCCCAGTGGAGAGAGTGGACAGCTTCAAATACCTCGGAGTTCACATCACACAGGACCTGTCATGGTCCTGTCACATCAACACCGTGGTGAAAAAGGCCCGACAGCGTCTCTACCACCTCAGACGCTTGAGAGACTTCCAACTGCCCTCCAAGGTGCTCAGGAACTTTTACTCGTGCACCATAGAGAGCATCCTGGCGGGAAACATCTTAACCTGGTTCGGGAACAGCACCATGCAGGACAGACGAGCTCTACAGAGGGTTGTGCGGTCAGCTGAGCGCACCATCCGCTCCGAGCTCCCTGACCTGCACTCAATCTACAGCAGGCGGTGCTGGACCAAGGCCAGGAAGATCGTGAAGGACCTCAGCCATCCCAACAACAGACTGTTCTCTCTGTTGAGGTCAGGAAAGCGATTCCGCTCCCTGAAGACCAACACAGGAGGAGGAGGAGCTTCTTCCCGCAGGCGCTACGGTCTCTCAATCACACCACCACACAGTACTGACCCACACATATGGTTCTTACACACACACTGGACTTTCTGGACTTTGTTTTCACTTCATCACTTAAATCACTTTAAGCATATTTGCACTGCACAAGACATAATGTGGATTGCACAACACTGGTCACTACCTTCTTCATTTCCGGTTAATACTTGTACAGCTGCTGTTATTGTGTATATATTTATTTATATTTCTTCATACATTCTTATATAGTTCTATATTGTGTATTTTGTTGTACAGTTATTTTATTTTCAACTTTAATTTATATATTTTATCTTATTCCTTCTTAGTTAAATTTACCCTTTTTAATTTTTCATATTTATTTCCTATCTTATTCATAGCCTTTTCCTTTTTTGTTCTCTTTAGGTCACGAGCAGTTGTCCAAGCATTTCACTACATATCGTACTGTGTATGACTGTGTACGTGACAAATAAAATTTGAATTTGATTTGATTTGAATTTAACTAAAGTTAATGCAGTACTTGATCCTTTTATTGATTTCATACAGATACATTCAGGTCATTTCCTAAAACAAGGGAAATGTACTATTAACCATTCTATTTCATGTATTTGATTATTTCAGATGTAATTCATATTGTTACGCCCCTAGTCTAGGCGTGTAGAGATGCACATAAGGTTGGAGGAGAGAGAGACAAATCCCTGCCCTGGTTCCCAAGCCAGACATCCAAAACCATTTGTGAGTAAATAAGGTGATTTTATTGAAGGTAATGAAGCATAGCTCCAGGGTGAATCCAGGCCAAAATAATAAACAATACCAACTAAGTCCCACCAGAGAAAACTAACTAAACCCTAAGAAAGAAACAGAACAAACAAATGACAATACTAACCCTGCTCACTACTCTTCATTAGGGGAGGGACCTGTAAAGAGTCTTAAACACAGTATAGAGACACAGAACAAAACAGCCCACACAGTGTTCTTATGGCCACAGCCGTAACAATATTTTAGAGTAGTAATAGTAAATTACGTCGTGTAATCAAGATGAGAGACCACGGCTATAAAAGCGAAGGTGGATTTGGGAAGTCTGTCGCAGCCATGTCCTGTCCGTTTGTACGCGAGCAACCCATTGCGGAAGGTGCAAGATTGATAAGGAGAGTTTTCAGAATTCAGCGTATATTGCGGGATAGACAGGATCCTTTAGCTCAGCGCGACAGTGTGCTCA